AAACAATATGGCTATAAGGAAGCAATATTTAATCTCCCTCACTTCTTCAGAGGAAACAACATGCAACACAAAGAAAAACAAACTTTAAAAGATATAGTACAATTAGGGCCCAAGTTTCACACCAAGGCCTCCTAAAATTTCAAAGAAGAAGATTATTTTTTTTCAATATATCAAATGCAAGAAAAAACTGTTTATTCAATTTTGGTTTTTTAGTATCTATGTCTAACTTATGTCAAAAAGCCATGTTATCTTATTTCTTAATACAATACTTCCATGATGATACAATACAAAATCACATATTTAAATATCAACAATACTGGAAAAAAACTTTTGTCTATTAAAGTTTTATATAAAACTGCCATGACAGTGGCCTTTCATGTCAGAACTTTTGAAGCAATTCAAATTGTTAAGTTGAAAATCTTCTTCAAACAGCATGTCTGGCAAGCAATTTTTTTTTCATTGTAAAGTTTGATATATAAGCTTTATGAAAATATACAATTCTGTCTAGTGTAAAGTTATTCATTTCAAGTAATAAGCTTAAAGAAGGCAGGGATACATGTACTTATGTCTTGCTAATGGAAAATTAATTTTTAATTTGTTGTTAATTACAGCCAGAGACATACTAATGTACATGTATGTTCAGCTTATTTATATTGCATGGTTATGTGAAATTTATTTTCATTCTGAATCTTGTACACAACTTCATCCTTAATTTTGTTGGGAAGAATATTTGTGTTCATCCTGTTTTTTTCAGTTATAAGCAATATGCAATAAGCAGGACAGAAAAATTAAAATCCTCCTGAAAAATGGAGGAATGTTCTTTAAAACAGTATTGTGAAAGTCTTATCTTTTATTAATATCAATGCAAATAAGAGGTTTAAGAATATCTATACCATTGCCTCTGAAAGGATGTCATTCAAGTCCTTGTAAGTTGAAAGTTCATATGTGCAAATATATCTGATCATAACAATAATATAATTAGAGGATCTCAGCCATTTTTCTCGAACAAAATGTTTCCAACCCTTGCCACGTGGAGGCGCCCTCTATCAAGAGTCTTATACAAATATAACATAAATAAACAATAAAAAGGAAACACACAAACCTACTGTCATGACACTTAAAAGTCAATATATATATATATATATATATATATATATGATCCGTTCATCCTATTTCGACTCTTCACAATTCAAGAGTCTATCCTAAATTGAGGTAAATTATAAGGCCTTCCAAATACCGTTTCGATTCCTAACATCACTGAAGAGACATTAATTGTCGAAATCCGGATATGGTGTACAAAAACCTTTGCACCTTTTGTTTGCGGTATACCATCTTTTCCGCAAGTTTATTGTTTTCTGTTTAGTATTAAATTTATAATTAAGATCCATTTATTACATCGGTGATCCGTTTATTTGGCAATCGCCAATGGCAGTCAGCAGGGTTTAAGAACATTTGTTGTTCGACCTGTTAGTCAAATGCGTTTTGTTAAAATATTCTTTTTCACTTTTTTGGTCTTTTGGAAAATGTTGTTTGTGCTGTATTTAGACCCCTCTAACAAGAAATTTGTTTTGCATGCACACGTATAAAAATTGCGGTTTTTATCCAACGCAATCATAGGTTTGAACGTTGTTTTCAATTTAGACTTATTTATATTTTTTCGTTTGGGCTTGTATTATATTTGCCTTCGGGTTCATATGATCCGTTCATCCTATTTCGACTCTTCACAATTCAAGAGTCTATATATCCTAAATTGAGGTAAATTATAAGGCCTTCCAAATACCGTTTCGATTCCTAACATCACTGAAGAGACATTAATTGTCGAAATCCGGATATGGTGTACAAAAACCTTTGCACCTTTTGTTTGCGGTATACCATCTTTTCCGCAAGTTTATTGTTTTCTGTTTAGTATTAAATTTATAATTAAGATCCATTTATTACATCGGTGATCCGTTTATTTGGCAATCGCCAATGGCAGTCAGCAGGGTTTAAGAACATTTGTTGTTCGACCTGTTAGTCAAATGCGTTTTGTTAAAATATTCTTTTTCACTTTTTTGGTCTTTTGGAAAATGTTGTTTGTGCTGTATTTAGACCCCTCTAACAAGAAATTTGTTTTGCATGCACACGTATAAAAATTGCGGTTTTTATCCAACGCAATCATAGGTTTGAACGTTGTTTTCAATTTAGACTTATATATATATATATATATATATATATATATACACAAAAGTCAACTTCTCTCACAATATGAAAACACTTTAAAACCTTTATAACAGATGAAATTTAGCAGGATTGTAAATATACACCACAATGACACACAACTTGGCACGAGTCATGACTTAATAAAATTAAGAATCTTTTTCTCCCTTTTTTTCTTTTTCTTTTCTTTTTCTTTTTTTTTTTTTATTAATACATGTTTATTGATAAAAACAATACATGTAGATGGCAAAAGGCTGAGTCTTGTAAAATTGTTTAAAACTATATTTGTATACAAGATACTTTTGAACACTATAAGACCAAAAAATCTCAGTCACTCAACCAATGCCATCAACATATCTGAAATCTGGGATAAAATTTCTCACAAAATGCACATAATGTATATGTAAATATAACTTGTATAATTTATAAGTTTAATATCAAAATTAAGGATGTAAAGAATTTCATTTAAACTGAGTAAAATATCTCCACATTGAATAATAAGGTCTCATGATTCTGAGTGAAAATATCCAAATAAATATGACTAAAGAATATATTCGCAATGCACAGTTTCATCAAAGATAGATACATATTAAATAAAAATCCTAGAGAAGGAGACAGTTTGAGCTGATACAAATGATAATAACCCTTTTCTTTAGAAAAAAAAACAACTCAAAAAGTCCAAACTTGTGAAACCTATTATTAAGTATTTTAGTACAAGAAAGGGATTTATATTTACACAAGAAACTCACACGTTTATAAGACAAAGCTTAAGCCTCTCACAATACTGGGAAAAAAAATTAAAGCAAGTATATGTATGAAAATAAGATAGAGAACTCACAACCATCACAACTGTAAACAAAAAAAAACAAAAAAACAAGGCAACAATTCTAAGCAATTGCAATATGTAAATTGAGTATAAAAACATCAAGAAACATGTATAACAAATAACTAATCATTAAAATGTACAAGTATATACAAAAACTTCAATTATATTCAACACAGCTGAATTCATCTGTGAGGTAAAATTTATCCCAGTCAGCAAAAAATCAGAGATCAAACTACCAACCCGTTAATTAAAGTATTTTAAAGGTGCTATACACCCCAACAGTATAAATATACACAAATTGCTGGGACAGGGCATGGTGATTTCAAGCACTTTAACATTAAAGGACATTTAAAAATAAGATATAACAAAATCAGCAAAAAACCCTCCAATTTTCAAAGTATTGATGTATACAATATCTAATTATTCTGTATCACTTGAAACAGACTCATCCTCCTCAGAATCTGAGGGATTTTGGGAATTCTACCTTGTCCTCTTGAACCTCAATATCAATGCATTTGTCCTAATATTGAGAACAGTTCTGACAGTTAGTACAAGAACAACCTGGTCCACATTTTTTATTACCATTTTTACATCTGCAGTTTTGTTTGATACAACCCTTTTCACATTTACAACCCCTTAGCAACCAGTTTACATGGCTTTGTATTGACAAAATATTGGACTCTTTTTCTCACACAGGTTCTAGATTTTTTTCAGTATTTATTCTATATTCGTAACTGCAGAAGGAAGGTAGGGAAATATTATTTTCTGTTGCTTGATCATACATTTGGGACACCAGGCAAGATCTTAACCAGTGAAGGTTAAGAGATGTAACACTGGGGGGTATTTGACCCTTACTTGTACCTTTTCACGGATAATATCTAGCCATCTGCAGTGCTTTTCATTGAGTGTTAAATTGGAACATTTATGAAAAACATCTTTAAATAAGTCACCAGGAGTAATAAATTCAGGTGAAAATTCTGTTATGTGTTTCTTGAAATACAAAGAACCAATTAATATAAGAAAAGATAAAAACCCATTGTCTTTGGAGTTTGGAATAGCATATTGAAATAAGGTGCTAAAAAAAGCCTTGCCAAATCCAACAAAGAAAGATGCATAGTCACATCCACTGCATATGTAATGAATCTGAATACATTTAGCTAAATTAAGATTACCTGTAACATATGGATCTCTTGTTAATGAATGTGCAAGGTCATTTAAACTTAAGTATTGGGCTCGCTCTGCAAGCATGTTTTTCTGCACTATTATATTCTTTGATGACAAGGGGCCTGAAATTAAACTGAGACCAATGAAGTACTCATCAGTGTCTGGGGAAAATACTAAACTTTGCTGTATTGACAATTATGACATGCAACTATTTGAGTGTGTCAGTTTCCTCATGATTCGATTGTAGTTGTTCTATTTCAAAAGCCTCACTTGTATAAGAAACCCCATAACAATTTCCTGTATCTGAACAACCAGCTAGCACAAAAGCCTGACCTGGTTTTAAATGGGGTTTTCACTACATCCAGCATTGATGTAGACAGAAGCTGAATGTAGTTTTTTTGTTGGTTCAGTTTTTTAAGAACGGGATCCATTTACCAGGAGAATGTATGTGACTCCGTCTTTTTTTTTTTCTTGTTTGAGCTCGGCTAGGTGTAAATGTTTTCAAGACATGTTTCCTAACTGGGGCATTTATACTCGGGATTTTCAGAATTCTTGAATTGATGTAGTGTTCAAGACTCTGCTTACCAATTTCATAGAAATGCATTAGGTCATGATACACAGACCCCTCTGCCTTTACGGCCGTAAATAATTTCATGAGACCCCTATTTTCACCCAAGTCATTCTTGAAAACATTGCTTTTTGCCACTTTCTTTAAATAGCAAGAACTTATTTCGTTATGAAATTTTTTATTAGATTGACCAGAAGAGGAAACAGTATTAGTATTACCTAATTGAATGTTCAAATTATTTTGCAGCGATGCTCTGTATGGAAGGAAGACTGCCATAGAATCCAACAGTACCGGAGAGGGTCTTTTAATTGACTGTTTAACATCAAGATTAATGTACGATTCGTGTACTTCATCCAGTGCAAGTTGTTGCCAGTTTTTCCCTGTAACTGTGGTAGAAAAACCATCAGCTTTCAGCTGGGTAATGACAGTTTCTGGCATTGAAAGGATATCAAACAAATGTTTTGGAATGATTCTCAAGTACATATGACGATCATATGCATGAAAAAGTGGATCTAGTCTCTTTAATGCAGCAATTCGTAATTCCCAATTTGAACTCCGAAAAGATAACAAAAAAATGTATGAGAAACAGTGAATAAAATCATGCCAAAACTTAAAGGTGTCATCAGTGTAATCATAATTTATCAGTAAAGACAAAAAAGTCATCTTTAAGATTGCCCAAATGAAGGCTTTTGTCTGTAATGTTTTGTAAATCTTGAAGATTTCTTTTATCAGTATTGTTGTTCTTTGATATTTTGATTGCCTCCGTTGTCAGTAAAACCATGTCTTTCAATATTTTGTTTGTCGTTTGTTTACATGTAAAGTCTGAAAAGTCATGTTTTGAATTTCTATAATCAAAGAAACTGAGCAACTGAGATCTGTAGAAAGTTCCTATATGTCAAGAAGGAATAAATGAGTTTTTCTAAAGACCCACTAAAGTTTGTCTGTATATTCAATTTTTAACTTGCAAAACAGATCATATGTTTTGGCATCACCGACAGTTATAACATGGCTGCATTTTGAATTTGAACCTAAAGTTTCATGAATTTTTTCCAGTGTGTGTCTGATAGTCTCGATGTTATCACAGGGTGCATCAATAACACCAAGATAAACAACATTGGCATTCTCAGTAGTTGATTCGTCAAAAGCTGCCATATTAGATTTTAAATCTGGGATACTTATATCCCATAATCAGATGCAAGCTTTTGTATTATGTACTGAAACATGGATTTTCCAATTTTTGACATGGCATTTCTTTCTGTCTCGGATAGTGAAAAGTTCCGAAGTTCTAATTGCATTAGAACGAGACTTAACATCAACATTTTGAAATTTTAAAGTATTGGGTTTTGGCTGAACTGCCTGGTAAGATGTGGCATGTATTCCCCTGGACCCATCCAATCTTACACATGCATTTGGCTGACCAAAGTCAATGTTGTCTGGTCACCATTGTGAAAGCGTTCATGTTTAAGTCATCAATAAACTTTGAGAATATTTATTTGTTCACAGTAGAAGTAATATATTCTTTCGATTTTTTTAGAACAGACAATACCAAATGTATTGAACATTGTAACTAGCTTTGTCGAGCAACTGTATGAATCTAGACAATCGGCAAGAAGAATATGTAAGGGCTGTTGACATTCACCGGCACTGACTTGATATAAATTGTGACAGATTGAAAATAACGTCCTTAAAATTCTTCGATTTTTGTGATCATTCTCCGTGTCTTCTGGAAAAAAAGATGTTTCTATAGATGGGAGAGAGCAAAGAAGTCTTCCTTCTCGACCTGTTTGGGAGCTTAAGAAATGAAAGTTCCAAATGATTGGGTCGAAAGATTTAATTATGGACTTGAAATCAACTTTACTTAGGTCTATTTCTGTGAAATGTGCTTTGAAATATGAAATTTGCTTTTGGTATCTGTCATTTAAATCCATAATAACAATTTTTATATATCTGGGGCAAATCTATGCTAGATTCTGAGTTTGATTGTATGGGTTTATCAGAATTTGATTTCATTTGATAGCACATATTATGAATAATACTAATTAAATCTGCATCCTTTGCCAAAATTAAAGTTCCCTTTTTGGCTTCAAGATACCCATTCCTTTTGTACTGGTGGATTTTTATGTACTGCCCAAAAGCATTTTCCAGTTGTAAAAGTAACCAAAAACTCGTTTTACGTGCATTTGGGGGTTTTTGGATGTTTGTGTCACAATAAAAGTTGTCAAGTTTGTCATTAAATTTAGTTAAAAGTGAGGGTAATAACAAAGGTTCGTCCCGTATCATGGAATTGGCAACAAACATCAGCATTTCATTTAATACAATTGATTCGAGATTTGTATTTGTGTCTGAAGACAATTTCGATTGGATATCTTGAAAATCATCCAGTTTTGGGTTGAGAAATGTTTTAGTGTCTAGTTCCTCGTCTGTTATGGGATCAACAGAGTCACCAATACTGTCTTCATCGATGCTACAGTCTTTACCTAAACTGGCTTTAAGTCTAAGCAGAATCATATAACACTTTTTCAAAAAGAACTATTCTCGCCTAAATGAGAATATTGGTGTTCATTTTAATCTTCGAAATAATGTTTGATGAGGTAAAACTGTCGCATGTGAAAAGTTCTCTTTAATCGGTTTTTACAACCCGGCATGTGGCATGTTGGACCATGGAACCTCTCCTCTCGCCATCGACTATAATGTTGTTGACAAAAATTTACAGTATTTTTATTATGACAATTTAGAGAGTTTTCAATTACATGAATACCCATCACTTCTAAAAATAATTGAGGGTTTGAAATTTCGGCAACATGGTCAGCTATATTGGGACATATTTGACAAGTGTCCGACCTTCTCTTTTTTGGAGGAGGGGGTTTGACATATTTGCATTCTAAAGAAATATTACAACTGGGACAGAGACATTCCAAAGGTCCTAAGCTATGATTGTCTTGTAGCCAACTTAAAAACTCCGATGCCTTGTTAAATATTATGATACTATCTGTTTGCCCTCTTATTTCCACATTTGGAACACTCTTGAGAAATTTTTCCAGGATGGGCTTTTTGTTTCAATATGCATGACATGGTAGTTCACATAGTTTATGTCAATAAGGATTAAATTTGTTTACTAATATGACATGCCAAGTTATTCTCCTTTGGTGTGTAAATTCAACCTGACTGAATAGCTCCTTGCATGCTACCCGCCTGATTTACAAATGTCCAAACTTTAATATGCACGTTATAGATTTAACACGCGACTTCTTAATCAACACCGGCAAAATTTGTTCAATTTACGCAAAGAAAGATTAATGCGTTTTTAATTTTTATGGATATTTTCTCTTTTGAACACACTCCAACATATTTACAGAAACTGACAATAACACTTATGATATCAGAACAAAGCCAAATATAAAGTTGTTTTACACAATTTAACAAACTATTGCGTAGTGTGTACGTATTTCAATTTTCATTTTTCATTTTTTTTCTCTCACAAATTTGAATTCAATGGAAGATGTGCATACCTGCACATCATAAAAGTGCAAAGTCTATGTTCTTTGACACACGTGGTAACTTTCGATCACATGTTTTTCAAACATTATATGTCATTTATATTAAGATGATTTCTTTGAAATGTTTTTAATACACTTAACATTAGGTAAAATAACAAAATACAATGTGCAAGATTTTGTGGCCTTGCGCAAAGAATATTTTGTCACGAATATTGATTACAAAAATATCGAGTTGTCCCAACGATGCACATGTCGGTGTGCTCGATCATACACATTTACCGACATGCATAGACAAAATGACACAACTTTGAAAAATTCTTGTGGCGAAACTACATTTTGGAACACGTTAAAAATTGGAACCTCATTAAGCTACATTATTAAGATTTGATATATATTTTTTTCAAAAAAAAAGAAAAATATGCAGTCAAGATTGGCAGTTTTTTAGACACCCTATGTTGAGCAATAAATTGTTCTATTAACAGCATATTTGGCAACTAAAAAATCAAATACTAGTATCAATAAATTCAGCTTTGAAATATACTTTATTTATAGTGGTTGTATAAAAGTTATTTTATGGTTTTGTGTTTTGAGAGATATTCATCCCTATGCATATCGAGTTTTATGTGTTTATTTTGTTTTTTTTTACCTTTTCTATCTCTTTCATAAGAAGAGTTACTTTTCTATTGTTCTTATGTCACTGGAAATCCTACTGAAAACAAAAGGAACTAGAAATAAGTCCACATCAGTTTCGTCTCCATCGGTCGCCCTCGGCACAAAACAGGAACAAGTCAGGCAGGATGAAATTATAAAAGACTCAGCAATAAGTACTTGAGTATGATATTTCAATCATATATAATCATAAATTCTAAAATGGCAGTATATTCAGTTGTTTTCACAGAACTAAATTTAGATGTCATCTCAACTTAAAAATAGTTTTTATGCCATTAATCAATGTTCATTTCAAACATGTTCATTTGGTATAAAATCAATTGTATTCATCCTTTAAATGGCCATTATTCGAAGGGCATTGAAATGACAACATGACCAAAATGTTGAATGTACCCACACTGTTGATTTTTGGATTTTTCAGTGGTAAGTCATAATTATGTAATGAATGATATGTATGTCGAGGTACATCTAACTAATAATATACAAATCTGCAAACTGGGAATTTTTAAAAATATAATTCATTATGAGCTGACAACATCGTACATGTAGCTGGGGATTTTGCAATTTCTTATATTTTTCATTTGTCCTGCAATCTGGTATATGGTTCCCATAAGAAAAATCCAAAGATCGAGTTAAAAACAAAATTGATACCTTCTGAAAATTTTGAAAGTCATAAAGTCGCCCCCAATAAAGAATAATAACACCACTATATTGTGTTAGAAATTAAAACTGAATATGAACATGGAGTAGAAATAACGTCAGCCTCAAAGAAAAGAAAACAAATGAGATGGGGAGGTTCTAAAACACGTTAATCAAACTGCTGAGTTATTTTGCCGAAAGCACACAAACATTTGGGGTCCTCTTCGTGACTTTCAAATATAATTTTAAAACTTGCATTTACCAAATAAAAATGTTTGCATAACATTATTTCTGTTTTTTGTTTACATTCACAGCTGAACATTACAATAATTTCATAAACAAATCGGTTTCGGCTTATGTGAAGATGTCGGTTTAAAAAACGGAGAGTACTGGGTTGAACATAAAAATGGTCAAAATTCCATGGCCAGGTTGCGCTGAGTTTTTCGCAGACAACGGATAATGATCTATACTTAAAATTTATATATTTATGGAAATACAACATAGAAAACATTTTTTAACAACTCCATAATGGAAGGTATAATATCGCAATAGCTGAAAAGAATAATGTTTTGAAACCATGCATCATATATTAATACTTCAATTTTTTAATTGTTAGGGGTTGACCTGTTATTAAATTTTCTTTCAATTTTGTCTTTGAAACCTTAATATATATATGAATGGCTAGAATGGCTAGAGGTTTTTGCATATAAACAGAAAACTTGAGAGAAGTCTTTTATCCTGCTTGGGTATCCTGCTGGGGATGTACAGTAAAAGCAAGTGTTCTAGATGAACCCTCATCCAAATTCCTAGTTAGAAAGAGGGTAGGAATCATCATGGAAATATTGAGAAGGTCTTTAACGCCAAAAAGAGCAACTTGTATATTCTCTGTATTGATAGACCCAAAACATGTGAATCTAATTATAATAGTATACGAAACTGCAAACTCACTGGAGATTTTGAAACGTTTTATTCATTATCTGCTAACAACATTGTAGCTGGGGATTGCGTCATGTCTTATATTTGTCATTTGTCCAAAACTCTTGTCTTATATCCTTCCCATACAAACATTGTTGAAAACAAAATTAGATACCTACCTTCTTGTGAAAGTTTTGCTAGTAATTTACCTACCTTCTTGTGAAAGTTTTGCTAGTAATTTACCTACCTTCTTGTGAAAGTTTTGCTGAAAAAATTACTATGTTCCCAAGTCTGGAAACATGGAGGAAATTTAAATCCTTAAACAATTCAATAAAAATAGGTGCACATCTTTAACATGCCTGCCCAACTGCATACTTCAAGCCAGTCTTAAGACTTGGTCCAACCCGACCTAAAACAAATAAGAAGGCAGGTCATGAAAATCAGATTTTATTTTATTTTTAGGTGCGACCCTAGCAGTATGCTCATACAGTTTTATTAAATTAACCTTCTGTATGTAAATCACATGTAGGTGACAAAAGTAGTATTATTTTTTTTTTTTTCTCGAATAAATATCCACATAAATGTTATTTGTAATTTTTTATTCTATTTATAGTTTCATTATGAAGGAGAGAAAATGGGGAAAAAATCGGTAGAGAACATAACGAGTCTGTGGAACTTCAAATAAATAAAACATAAAATGCAGAATTTGTAATATCCTTAAAATCAATAGCCAAACTCAGCTCTGAAAATAAAACAAAAAGAAAGTCCACAACAGTGTTGACTCCATCTGTTTCCTCGGGACAGAACAGGAACAAGTTGGGGAGAATGTTATTTTATAAGGCCTAAGGTAGGATGTTTCGATTAATTTAAATTATTAATCCTTAAATGACAGCAATATCTGTTCAATGTAGCAATACCAATATTGTTTTAGCTCATCTTTAATCCTCCTGGTATCTATGACGAGTTTATTAACTAGACCGAGCAAGTTCTTTATTTGTGTCAATCAACATGATCAATGGTCTCCTCTTTCAAAAAAGATATTTTCCATGCAAAAATTTCAGATTAGATTTGATTAAAACTCTGAAGAAATGAACTAAGTATGAGTGCTATCTCAATTTAAAGAGTTTCTGCATCAAAAGGGTAAATTTTAAAAATTATCAACCAGTATAAAATTATTGTAATCATAAAAATTGGCAAAATTCAAATCCTACTGAAGAGTAAACTTGAATGCCCCTCAAGCTGGTTTTTTTTTTCATAATTTTGTCCGTGTTTGGTCAGAAAATTATGAAAGTTGGGTTAAGAGTGAAAATTGCAACCATTCTGTCAACTTAAAAAAAACTGGACAGCTAACTATGGAGTCATCAACCTTGAATTTTTTATTTCTTTTTACAAATTTGTCAGATTTGACTAATATCATGGAAACAATAGGAGCTAATTTATAAGTGAAAACGCTTGTTGCTCATTGTTCAAGGCTGCACAGTAATTGCTCAAAAGTTTGTGTTTTGGTTTTTATATTTAGATTCTGAGTTAAACTATTGCCTAACACATATTATGTCCTTTTTTGATGTCCACAAAGGATTAAGGTTTTCAAAACAATTCGTCATATACTGATAATGTGACTTTTGTGTGATTGGGGTTAATGTGTAATTAAATATCCTTTAATCATGTCTTTAAAACTTTAATGTAGACGGCTAGAAGAATTTGCATATATGCAGTGACGTTACGCACGTTATTGCGTCAATACTGTGAAATCAACCAGTCCACATTGATAAACTGTTTTTCTATAAAATCAAAACAGTTAAGCTATATTAACTTCATATCCATAGACTAGGCAAGTATTACTGTTTCAAAAAAAAACAACAAATTGTTTTATAATATTTTACAATAGTCTAAAATAAGGACAAAAATATTGGCAAAAGTCAAAAATATGCGTTTCAGACGTAACCGACTATACGCATAATAATTTTTACAGGGGTGTTTGTGCTCTTCGAATCATTGTCAAATCCGCGAAAATTTGCATGTGTGTAATGTGTCATATATAAAGTATTACAACATTACTTAATATGCGTTGATGCAACGGCTAAAGCTAATTTTTTGCAAAAATAAATAGTCTTCACCACGGTCAGATTTCGGGAAAGGATAAGATTATATGAAATTTCGTTTTCATAAATCATGCTCACAAAAGTACACAGATAGACCATTTCAAAACCCAATAAATACAGCACTCACACCACAAATAAAAATGCAATAGCTTCTGGTAAATGTCCAATGTCGAATTTCGCCGGCTTTTAACAAGTAAACTGTCAGTTGCGACGTCATTTATTAAAAAAATCGATTTGTTGCCTACAAAATAGTGCTTTTCCGTAATTGTACTTTAACCCTATGAAACAGTTTCATACTTTTGATAATTTTCATAGTCAATACTACTTCGTTTTTAAACAAATCCAATGTCTTCCAAGTTTGTCCAGTGAACGATTTTTTTACGTTTTCAACGTTGCCGATTCGGGACGCTATTTATTAGATCGAATGTTTTGTTAGTTTTGTGTTTTGGTGTTAAACGCAACTTGTATCGCCCTTGGTTGAATCATATCGGAAAGTTTTGTATGGTAGATGAAGTCGGAGAACCTTGGTTGTAATATAAATTTTAAACCCGTGGAACAGACTCGCATAATACACCAAATAATATCCACAATGTTGTTACAAATCTTCCTGGCCGAGACCTATCGTGTTACAATTGTGATAACTGATTTAATGGAGCAATATACGATTGTGAGAAATAGAAAGTTAAAATAAAATTGTTGTGCCTGAAGAGTTACACCTCGATATCATACAAAACTTTTCTCCGTTATTAAAAAAAAGTAAAGTGTACTTTTTAAGTCAGACACGTTTAGCTTGTAATCCAACACACACTTTTTTTTTATTAAAGAAAAATGGATATCTTCCTCCTTCTCGGATTTAAATGGGGAAACATTGCATGTTATTACGTTCTATGTCATTTGGTCTCTGGTAGAGAGTTGTCTCATTAGCACTAACACCACTTCTTATTTGTATATAGACCCTATTATCTTACTCAAATACAAATATTGTCTTGTTTGATGCTTGCGTAGCTTCCAGTGGGAAATATTTCATGCATATTCCGTACAGCCAAACATTAAGAAGTATCCATATTGATGTGCAGAAAAAAATTGCCAAGGAAAACAAAATATTCTCGTTTATCTGCGTAAAATTGAGACGCAATATCGTGCAAAACGTCATTATACTTCACAAATGTCCTTATGCTTTTAATTAATATGATTATAGTTTACCTTGCAGGTAAATTCACAGTAAAAGCAAGTGTTCTAGAGGAATCTCCATCAAACTTCCTAGTTAGACTTATAAGTGAAAGGTGAATAGGAGCCATAGAGGAAAGCATGAAAAGGTCTTTAACGCCTATAGAAGCAAGTAGTATACTGTCTGTATTGATTATTCTCTGTTACCCAGACACTTAAATTTTGGGTATTCTGGGTATACGCAACGGTAACAAATCTTGTGTCAGATTTCTGTCGCAGAATCGGAACAACTTGGGTTTTCCCATGATATAGAAAAACTACCGATAGTCTCCGATATAATATTGTGACCAACAAAATCCAACATGGCAGCCTCCATAATATATGATATTCAATTAAATTTTCAACTGCAATTTGTTAGAGGGTCACAGAGTGTTTGTGGTGTTGCCAACGGAATGTTTGCACAGGACTTCCTGAATTATTCAAAAAGGAACACTATAAAAGCCGTTTTGGTTATCTCTCCATTGGTACCTCTGATGAAAGACTAGAGAGAACAATTTGTTCAACAAGGAAAAGAGTGGGTATCGTGGAGAAAAACTAGATAAAGGTATGAAATAAGTTTTTTTTCAATGTATTGCAACCGTTCAATATGAGCAATGCTATACTTGAAGCAATTCTGAAATAAATATAATGTAGGTTAGTCCAAATAAATGTACTATTCCTTCACTAGCAGGATGCGATGCAAGACGTTTCAGCCATACTTGATATGGTAGTTTCGGCAATAAGCTTTTTTTAATGAAGATTATAATTTGGGGAAAGAAATATACCACAAACGGATATGAAAAATACATAAATCGTGCAAACCTGTCACTAATGAAATTCCTGTTATTGAATGTTTTCTATTCTTTATTATCAAAAATAAAATCATTAAGAGCATTACGTTAAAGTCGTACGTAAAGTACACTATTGTTCCCCGCGTGACGCGTTGGGCCCAGGAAGGGGGTATAAATTGGTTGATTAGATGCTAAACGTCCAGTGGCAAATATTTCATGCATGTTCAGGACGAGAATAAATTAACAATAAATGTAATAGGAAGGTCCAGTTCTTAGATGAAGATTGGGGAAATTTGGACTGCCACGGGAATCTCAGGGTATATTGGATAGGGACAGAAAAAAACCTGCAAAGAGCGTGGCACTCTCTTTAAACGAGGCATCGGTTTTGACGTCCACATTCAGACCGGACGTGGCTGTGAACTTGTACATCCCACACAGTTAAACGGACGCCCCACTTTAACGAGGATTTTACTGCCGGTCGGAGGGAGACCAATGGTGACTATATTTCTATTCCCCAGTCACCCTTGGGGTCATGCAATTTTGAGCTAATATGGAGAATTAGATGTTTCAGAGAAACCAGTCAACTGATGATTATAATACTTTGCATACTCACTGTCTGTATGACATTATGAACTCGGATGATTTTTAGTCTAAGCTGAATATCTTTAATGAAGTTATTGAAATGCTGCTAATAGAGAATTAAAGATGCTCCACCTTTGTCATATTTTGTTAATGTATAAGAGAATGATCTCTTTTTTGTTGATGTATCATTTCATTCTCTCCTGTTAGTTCATGAAAAATAATGAAACAATACTATATTGTGTTAGAAATAAGGCTGATTATGAACATGGAGTAGAAACAATATCAGCCTCAAGGAGAAGTAAACACATCAGATGAGGAGGGAATATATAACATGTACATCATAATGCTGAAAGATATTTGCCAAAAGAATACAAAATTCTGGGGTCCTCTTCGTTACATTCAGATAAAATTTTATTGTTTCTGATTTTTGTTTTTATTTCTAATACTGAAGTGCTCAAGTTCAGAAAAATGTTAAAAACATCCCTCTAACAACTCCGTAATAGTTGAACAACCTTTCCATGCTTTCTGCGAGGATAAATGATCTGTTGATAACACATAACTGATTCCATCTGGAAAACAGAGGATTTCTATAAAACCAAATTAATAATCAGATAAAAGGTAAAGGGCTTTCAACCTTGAAATGGTCGACCGACTTATTTTGTTTTCAGAATAAAACATCAAAAAATAGCTTCAAGAAATCATTTCAATACAGAGATATTGGTATTTTTGAAACAACACAACCAACTTCAGATAGAAATAACTTTAAGAATAGAGTGAACATTTGAATTCACAATAGGTGTTTGGATAATATAAATTTAGACAATTTATTGAAATATCTCGTGCAAAGAAAAAGTTATTTAGTTTTTCAATTATTGTGAAGAAGACAAAGCAAATCAGTCCAATAAGGTTAACTATTCAAAAGGTGAGCATGACACAATTCCAAAATTTTCAAAAAACTACACCTCCATGAAAAGTTTGTACATTCAAACGAAGCTTAGGAACAAAATCGGATGAGGATGTTTCAGTCACTCCAGTCACATTTTTATATCATATGTGCATAGATTCGACATCAGCATTTTATAAGTGACACCTTATTTCCTTCCACAATTACATGGGTATCCAGCAATAACAGAAACTGAAAAATTGAGAATATACAGTTGAAACAATATATAAAGCAACACCACTGCCTAATGAAATGAAACTATTTCACCTGTATGTCGAACCTTATTTTATACTTCTGTCTTAACAATGGACTTTTGGAGCCTCATGAAATGTTCAATAGTGACAAAAGCATTTCATTTTATGCCATGAGAAAAAATATATTCTTTTTTGTCAAATATTCAAAATTTAGCTTCCACGAAGAAGTTACATTCAGATATAGATAATATATACGCGTCGAATTGAATTTTAAAGATTTGAATAATCTTTCCCCGAGTTTTCTCCAAAATAATAACTAAAAAAGCATATCCCTTTGATAGTTTTTTGTTGGTTTACTAGCATTTAATTCTTAATTTCAGGTTCAACCTTTCGTCTCTACATATTTACAAATAAGATATTTTCGGCACACAGACGTTAATTAACTGCAAGTTCAAGGCCGCGAAAGTTGCTCCCCCATAGGCTTATAGTAATAAAGACAGTATTTTGAAGAAAAATAAAACAGACAAACGAGATATTCATTTTGATAAATAGTATAAAAGACAACTATTAAAGACCGACAATCAAAAAAGAAAAGAATGTATCAATGTTTTCCATAAAACAGTTAATGAAGGGAGATAATTCTACATCTAAAATGATTAATCTGCACCAACTATTAAATACACGTACAAGTAATACGAAATACCGCGCAAGTTTTACTAAATTTCATTCAAATCTGTATTTAACCATTTACATACTATAAAGATTTGCATCAAGATTTTATTTCTTTTTATATTTACAGAAAAATCCAGCTAGATCGGCATGACAGAAGAGAGCAGATAACTGAAAACACTGGAAATGTTCATGCATGCTCAAGACGAGAACAAATCAACACTGAATACAATAGGTACGTCCTGTAACAAGGGCGGTCTGGGATATAGGTCGGGAAATTTGGACTGCCACTGGAAAATGATAGTAATTCGATTAAGACAGCGATTTTAACATGTAACAGGTCACCTACAGATCCCCATGGCAATCTGCTTCGAATTTGACGTTCCCATTCTGACCGGATGTGGCTGCGAACATATACGTCCCGCACAGCCTAACGGACGCCCCACTCTTGCAATGGTTTTACTGCGGGTCGGAAGAGCACCAACATGACTATTTCTATTCCCCAGTCACCCTTGGGGTCATGCAATTTTGAACTAATATGGAGAATTAGATGTTTCAGAGAAACCAGTCAACTGATGATTATAATACTTTGCATACTCAATGCCTGTATGACATTATTAACTCGGATGATTGTTAGTCTAAGCTGAATATCTCTAATAAAGTTATTGAAATGCTGCTAATAGAGAATTAAAGATGCTCCACCTTTGTCATATTTTGTTAATGTATGAGAGAATGATCTCTTTTTAGTTGATGTATCATTTCATTCTCTCCTGTCTGTTCATGAAAAATAATGAAACAATACTATATTGTGTTAGAAATAGGACTGATTATGAACATGGAGTAGAAACAATATCAGCCTCAAGGAGAAGTAAACACATCAGATGAGGAGGGAATATATAACATGTACATCATAATGCTGAAAGATATTTGCCAAAAGAATACAAAATTCTGGGGTCCTCTTCGTTACATTCAGATAAAATTTTATTGTTTCTGATTTTTGTTTTTATTTCTAATACTGAAGTGCTCAAGTTCAGAAAAATGTTGAAAACATCCCTCTTACAACTCCGTAATAGTTGAACAACCTTTCCATGCTTTCTGCGAGGATAAATGATCTGTTGATAACACATAACTGATTCCATCTGGAAAACAGAGGATTTCTATAAAACCAAATTAATAATCAGATAAAAGGTAAAGGGCTTTCAACCTTGAAATGGTCGACCGACTTATTTTGTTTTCAGAATAAAACATCAAAAAATAGCTTCAAGAAATCATTTCAATACAGAGATATTGGTATTTTTGAAACAACACAACCAACTTCAGATAGAAATAACTTTAAGTATAGAGTGAACATTTGAATTCACAATAGGTGTTTGGATAATATAAATTTAGACAATTTATTGAAATATCTCGTGCAAAGAAAAAGTTATTTAGTTTTTCAATTATTGTGAAGAAGACAAAGCAAATCAGTCCAATAAGGTTAACTATTCAAAAGGTGAGCATGACACAATTCCAAAATTTTCAAACAACTACACCTCCATGAAAAGTTTGTACATTCAAACGAAGCTTAGGAACAAAATCGGATGAGGATGTTTCAGTCACTCCAGTCACATTTTTATATCATATGTGCATAGATTCGACATCAGCATTTTATAAGTGACACCTTATTTCCTTCCACAATTACATGGGTATCCAGCAATAACAGAAACTGAAAAATTGAGAATATACAGTTGAAACAATATATAAAGCAACACCACTGCCTAATGAAATGAAACTATTTCACCTGTATGTCGAACCTTATTTTATACTTCTGTCTTAACAATGGACTTTTGGAGCCTCATGAAATGTTCAATAGTGACAAAAGCATTTCATTTTATGCCATGAGAAAAAATATATTCTTTTTTGTCAAATATTCAAAATTTAGCTTCCACGAAGAAGTTGCATTCAGATATAGATAATATATACGCGTCGAATTGAATTTTAAAGATTTGAATAATCTTTCCCCGAGTTTTCTCCAAAATAATAACTAAAAAAGCATATCCCTTTGATAGTTTTTTGTTGGTTTACTAGCATTTAATTCTTAATTTCAGGTTCAACCTTTCGTCTCTACATATTTACAAATAAGATATTTTCGGCACACAGACGTTAATTAACTGCAAGTTCAAGGCCGCGAAAGTTGCTCCCCCATAGGCTTATAGTAATAAAGACAGTATTTTGAAGAAAAATAAAACAGACAAACGAGATATTCATTTTGATAAATAGTATAAATGACAACTATTAAAGACCGACAATCAAAAAAGAAAAGAATGTATAAATGTTTTCCATAAAACAGTTAATGAAGGGAGATAATTCTACATCTAAAATGATTAATCTGCACCAATTATTAAATACACGTACAAGTAATACGAATTACCGCGCAAGTTTTACTAAATTTCATTCAAATCTGTATTTAACCATTTACATACTATAAAGATTTGCATCAAGATTTTATTTCTTTTTATATTTACAGAAAATTCCAGCTAGATCGGCATGACAGAAGAGAGCAGATAACTGAAAACACTGGAAATGTTCATGCATGCTCAAGACGAGAACAAATCAACACTGAATACAATAGGTACGTCCTGTAACAAGGGCGGTCTGGGATATAGGTCGGGAAATTTGGACTGCCACTGGAAAATGATAGTAATTCGATTAAGACAGCGATTTTAACATGTAACAGGTCACCTACAGATCCCCATGGCAATCTGCTTCGAATTTGACGTTCCCATTCTGACCGGATGTGGCTGCGAACATATACGTCCCGCACAGCCTAACGGACGCCCCACTCTTGCAATGGTTTTACTGCGGGTCGGAAGAGCACCAACATGACTATTTCTATTCCCCAGTCACCCTTGGGGTCATGCAATTTTGAACTAATATGGAGAATTAGATGTTTCAGAGAAACCAGTCAACTGATGATTATAATACTTTGCATACTCAATGCCTGTATGACATTATTAACTCGGATGATTTTTAGTCTAAGCTGAATATCTCTAATAAAGTTATTGAAATGCTGCTAATAGAGAATTAAAGATGCTCCACCTTTGTCATATTTTGTTAATGTATGAGAGAATGATCTCTTTTTAGTTGATGTATCATTTCATTCTCTCCTGTCTGTTCATGAAAAATAATGAAACAATACTATATTGTGTTAGAAATAGGACTGATTATGAACATGGAGTAGAAACAATATCAGCCTCAAGGAGAAGTAAACACATCAGATGAGGAGGGAATATATAACATGTACATCATAATGCTGAAAGATATTTGCCAAAAGAATACAAAATTCTGGGGTCCTCTTCGTTACATTCAGATAAAATTTTATTGTTTCTGATTTTTGTTTTTATTTCTAATACTGAAGTGCTCAAGTTCAGAAAAATGTTGAAAACATCCCTCTTACAACTCCGTAATAGTTGAACAACCTTTCCATGCTTTCTGCGAGGATAAATGATCTGTTGATAACACATAACTGATTCCATCTGGAAAACAGAGGATTTCTATAAAACCAAATTAATAATCAGATAAAAGGTAAAGGGCTTTCAACCTTGAAATGGTCGACCGACTTATTTTGTTTTCAGAATAAAACATCAAAAAATAGCTTCAAGAAATCATTTCAATACAGAGATATTGGTATTTTTGAAACAACACAACCAACTTCAGATAGAAATAACTTTAAGTATAGAGTGAACATTTGAATTCACAATAGGTGTTTGGATAATATAAATTTAGACAATTTATTGAAATATCTCGTGCAAAGAAAAAGTTATTTAGTTTTTCAATTATTGTGAAGAAGACAAAGCAAATCAGTCCAATAAGGTTAACTATTCAAAAGGTGAGCATGACACAATTCCAAAATTTTCAAACAACTACACCTCCATGAAAAGTTTGTACATTCAAACGAAGCTTAGGAACAAAATCGGATGAGGATGTTTCAGTCACTCCAGTCACATTTTTATATCATATGTGCATAGATTCGACATCAGCATTTTATAAGTGACACCTTATTTCCTTCCACAATTACATGGGTATCCAGCAATAACAGAAACTGAAAAATTGAGAATATACAGTTGAAACAATATATAAAGCAACACCACTGCCTAATGAAATGAAACTATTTCACCTGTATGTCGAACCTTATTTTATACTTCTGTCTTAACAATGGACTTTTGGAGCCTCATGAAATGTTCAATAGTGACAAAAGCATTTCATTTTATGCCATGAGAAAAAATATATTCTTTTTTGTCAAATATTCAAAATTTAGCTTCCACGAAGAAGTTGCATTCAGATATAGATAATATATACGCGTCGAATTGAATTTTAAAGATTTGAATAATCTTTCCCCGAGTTTTCTCCAAAATAATAACTAAAAAAGCATATCCCTTTGATAGTTTTTTGTTGGTTTACTAGCATTTAATTCTTAATTTCAGGTTCAACCTTTCGTCTCTACATATTTACAAATAAGATATTTTCGGCACACAGACGTTAATTAACTGCAAGTTCAAGGCCGCGAAAGTTGCTCCCCCATAGGCTTATAGTAATAAAGACAGTATTTTGAAGAAAAATAAAACAGACAAACGAGATATTCATTTTGATAAATAGTATAAATGACAACTATTAAAGACCGACAATCAAAAAAGAAAAGAATGTATAAATGTTTTCCATAAAACAGTTAATGAAGGGAGATAATTCTACATCTAAAATGATTAATCTGCACCAACTATTAAATACACGTACAAGTAATACGAATTACCGCGCAAGTTTTACTAAATTTCATTCAAATCTGTATTTAACCATTTACATACTATAAAGATTTGCATCAAGATTTTATTTCTTTTTATATTTACAGAAAAATCCAGCTAGATCGGCATGACAGAAGAGAGCAGATAACTGAAAACACTGGAAATGTTCATGCATGCTCAAGACGAGAACAAATCAACACTGAATACAATAGGTACGTCCTGTAACAAGGGCGGTCTGGGATATAGGTCGGGAAATTTGGACTGCCACTGGAATATGATAGTAATTCGATTAAGACAGCGATTTTAACATGTAACAGGTCACCTACAGATCCCCATGGCAATCTGCTTCGAATTTGACGTTCCCATTCTGACCGGATGTGGCTGCGAACATATACGTCCCGCACAGCCTAACGGACGCCCCACTCTTGCAATGGTTTTACTGCGGGTCGGAAGAGCACCAACATGACTATTTCTATTCCCCAGTCACCCTTGGGGTCATGCAATTTTGAGCTAATATGGAGAATTAGATGTTTCAGAGAAACCAGTCAACTGATGATTATAATACTTTGCATACTCAATGCCTGTATGACATTATGAACTCGGATGATTTTTAGTCTAAGCTGAATATCTCTAATAAAGTTATTGAAATGCTGCTAATAGAGAATTAAAGATGCTCCACCTTTGTCATATTTTGTTAATGTATAAGAGAATGATCTCTTTTTAGTTGATGTATCATTTCATTCTCTCCTGTCTGTTCATGAAAAATAATGAAACAATACTATATTGTGTTAGAAATAGGACTGATTATGAACATGGAGTAGAAACAATATCAGCCTCAAGGAAAAGTAAACACATCAGATGAGGAGGGAATATATAACATGTACATCATAATGCTGAAAGATATTTGCCAAAAGAATACAAACTTCTGGGGTCCTCTTCGTCACATTCAGATAAAATTTTTATTGTTTCTAATTTTTGTTTTTATTTCTAATACTGAAGTGCTCAAGTTCAGAAAAATGTTGAAAACATCCCTCTAACAACTCCGTAATAGTTGAACAACCTTTCCATGCTTTCTGCGAGGATAAATGATCTGTTGATAACACATAACTGATTCCATCTGAAAAACAAAGGATTTCTATAAAACCAAATTAATAATCAGATAAAAGGTAAAGGGCTTTCAACTTGGATATGGTCGACTGACTTATTTTGTTTTCAGAATAAAACATAAAAAAAATAGCTTCAAGAAATCATTTCAATACAGAGATATTGGTATTTTTGAAACAACACAACCAACTTCAGATAGAAATAACTTTAAGAATAGAGTGAACATTTGAATTCACAATAGGTGTTTGGATAATATAAATTTAGACAATTTATTTAAATATCTCGTGCAAAGAAAAAGTTATTTAGTTTTTCAATTATTGTAAAGAAGACAAAGCAAATCAGTCCAATAAGGTTAACTATTCAAAAGGTGAGCATGACACAATTCCAAAATTTTCAAAAAACTACACCTCCATGAAAAGTACATTCAAACGAAGCTTAGGAACAAAATAAGTAATAGTACCTGACTTTGGCATCAAACCGGAAGTGACGTCATAGATAAAAAAACAAGGTATTCAGGAAAAAAATGGCGAGCACCATTTTTTTTTCCTGAATACCTTGTTTTTTATCTATGACGTCACTTCCGGTTTGATGCCAAAGCTCAGGTACTATTACTTGGGGGGTAAATAAGGGGGGTGGGTAAAAAAAAAGGGGGTGGGTAAAAAAGGGGGGTCAACTATTTATTTATAGGTCTATTTTTATAGATATATTTATTTATAGATGCATTAGGGACTTGTGACCCGTAATGTTAATAATAACATTAGTTGCATTAAAAATTTTTAATCAAAAAATTTTTAAAATTTTTACATTTTTTTGAATTTTTATTTACTTACCTGAGCTAATAACATTTTTATTATAAATATTTTATCGAGACATATAATAATTAAAAGATACCTTACTTAATTAAAGGTATATAAATAACAAAATTAAAAATATTTAATCAAACTATTAAAAAAAGAAAAAAGAAAACATGGCAACTTTTTTAAATGAAAATTTTATTTCAACAAAAGTTCCTGATGAATTACAATTATTTAAATGTAATGATAATCAATTAGCTATTGAAGAAGAATTTAATCAAACGATTAAACCTAATACAAATATTAGCTTTAATTCAGATATAACTTTTAATTTTAATACTGGAAATTTATTATTTTGTCCTTACAAATCCTACTTTCATTTAGCTTTTAATACAAAAACTACAGCAGGAATTCCTCCAAAATTAATTGACAAAACATCTGTAATTGATTTTCCTTTAAATACATTTTTTAAACAGTGTGAAATTTATATTAATGGAACTTTAATATCTACTACTAGTCCTTATTTTCATATAGAAAGTTGAAAGTTATATTCATAAAATAATTACAGGAGGTAAAAATACAGATGAAAGTACAGGTTTTTATGGATATAATAATTCTGCTTGGGGTACTAATAATCAAGTTCAAAAATTATAACAAACTACTCCAAGTCATTTTTATGGAAAATTATATTCTCCATTTTTCTTTATAAAAAAATATTTACCTTCTAATATAAATATTGAAATACGCTTACATTTAAACAATTCAAAATTTTTATTATTTGAAGAAGCAGGAACTGTTTTACCTTTAATTGAATTAGAACTATTAGAATTTCATGCTGCAATGATTAAAATACAAGAACCTGTAACCGTAGCTTTAGAAACAGAAATGATAAAACAACCAGCTTTATATTGTTCCAATGATTGTTATACAAAAACCCAATCAGTACCAGTAGGTACAAGCTTAATTAATATGTTTAATGTTTTTGATTATTGTCCTAAATATTTATTTATATTTTGTGTTAAAACAGAAGATTTAGCTAATGATGCTTCAAAAAATCCTTTTGCTTATCAAAGTATGAATATAAGTGAAATAAATTTATATGTAAATGGACTTTTAAAAGATGGAGATACAAAAAAATATGATGGTAATTATAGAGAAAATTTATTTATATTATCTAATATTATGAAGAAAGAATATGATATAAATAAAAATAAAGTAAAATTAGTTAATATAAAACAAACAATAAGTGCTACTGAAGCTCCTTTATATTCTTTTATTTTAAAACCTCATTTAACAGAAGATTATATTCATTTAAAAAAACCAGAAAAAGTATCTTTAGAAATAAAATTATCAGCCTCAACAACTAAAGAATATTTAGTATATATAGTAGGTTATTTTCAAAATATGTTTGACATTACAAAACAACGTTTAGTAACAAAGTATATAACATTTACACTCTTCTTCAGTTATTTCATTTTTAGCACAATAATTACATAAAGGAAATTTTAATTTATCATCATCATATTATTGAGGTAATACAGGTATAAATAATTTACGAGGAGGTAATATATATCTTTGTTTTATTGGACGTTTATCAATTGTTTTTTCTTCTAATTTTAACCGTTGATCCTTTAAAGCTTTTTCTATACGAGATTCACACATTGTATCAAATACAGGAACCCCTTTTTTTTTTTACTTCTTTAACTTTTTGTATTATTTCTTCAGCTTTAGTTTTATATTCCATACCTTTTTTAATAAAATCCCCAATTTTTTTACCTTTATCTATTAAATTATTCCAATTTGTACTTGTTATTACTTTACCTATTTTAGTAAAAGCACTCATTTTTTACGTAAATGTAAAACTAAATTAATTTGTAAAGTTTTATCTGTTTTATCAATTCCTTCAGTCCAAAAATGTAATGTTTGTAAACCTGTATAACTTACGGGGTAATATATTACAGGATATATACTTAATAAACTACCGTTAAAAGGTCCTGTATATAAACAATGATATTTTTTTTCGTTTAAAAGAGAAAGACTATCAATAAAGTCACAGCTTATAATTAAATCAGTAACTCTGGTAGTTTTAGAAATATGTATTGAAAGTAAAGCAACTTCCGTATATCTATTACACCTATTGTTACATTCATATTTTTGTTTATTTCCATTTCTTGATATGAATTTAAAACTCTTTCTATTTCTTTAAAAATATAATCAGAAGAAATTAAATAAAGAGGTTGTGGTACAATAATAATATCATCATTTAAATCAGGATGTCTAATAATAATTTTAATTAAATCATTTTTTACATATTTTTTTTTTTATTTTATCTATTATTTTATCAAATACATTTTTTATTTTTTTATTTGCTTTTAAAATTGTGTTATCATTCCAGGAATCTCCAAATTTTAAATTATAGGTAGTATCAATTATAGTTCCTTTTGCAAATAATCTTTCATCTTTTTTTTCAAATATGTACTGTAAAATAAAAAAATAAAAAAATTAGTAATATATAATACTTACACTTAATTCATCTAAATCATCATCACTATCTTCATCACCTACTACTAAATTTCTATGACTAGTTGAAGGAACAATCTATAAAAAAATAATTTTTTTAAATTATTAGCGTTTCAAATTATTAACGTTTTTTATTAATAACGTTATTTTTTAAAAAAAAATTATTAAAAAATTTAAAAAAAATATTTTTTTACTTACATCATCCTCATCTATCTCTTCCATTTCCTTCTGCTCTTTCCTTTTTCTTTTAAGGGCCTTGCCCTTACCTTTCCCTGCAACTTTTCCTTTACCAATTTCTGGCATTGTCAAATTATCTTGGGTATTATTCTAAAAAAAATATGAATGCATTTAATTTATATTAAAATAAAGAGTTTGTTTATAATCTCTAAAATAAAAATAATAATCTTTAAATAAAAAAATACTTACATTCTTAGGAGTTTCTTTTACTTCATCCTCGTCACTATACTTTGTAAACAAATTATGTAGCATGTCATCATCTTCATTTTCTTCTTCTCCTTCAGGTTTTACTACTTCCTCTGTTACATCATCATTCATGATTATTACTTCTTCAAGTTCATTATCTCCAAGATATAGGGGATTAAGGCTTGATCAAGTACTGGTACTTCTTCTTCTTTAACAATCATTTTTTGGCATCAAACCGGAAGTGACGTCAAAACAGTGTTAAAACAGAAGATTTAGCTAATGATGCTTCAAAAAATCCTTTTGCTTATCAAAGTATGAATATAAGTGAAATAAATTTATATGTAAATGGACTTTTAAAAGATGGAGATACAAAAAAATATGATGGTAATTATAGAGAAAATTTATTTATATTATCTAATATTATGAAGAAAGAATATGATATAAATAAAAATAAAGTAAAATTAGTTAATATAAAACAAACAATAAGTGCTACTGAAGCTCCTTTATATTCTTTTATTTTAAAACCTCATTTAACAGAAGATTATATTCATTTAAAAAAACCAGAAAAAGTATCTTTAGAAATAAAATTATCAGCCTCAACAACTAAAGAATATTTAGTATATATAGTAGGTTATTTTTAAAATATGTTTGACATTACAAAACAACGTTTAGTAACAAAGTATATAACATTTACACTCTTCTTAAGTTATTTCATTCTAAGCACAATAATTACATAAAGGAAATTTTAATTTATCATCATCATATTATTGAGGTAATACAGGTATAAATAATTTACGAGGAGGTAATATATATCTTAAAAGTTTGTTTTATTGGACGTTTATCAATTGTTTTTTCTTCTAATTTTAACCGTTGATCCTTTAAAGCTTTTTCTATACGAGATTCACACATTGTATCAAATACAGGAACCCCTTTTTTTTTTACTTCTTTAACTTTTTGTATTATTTCTTCAGCTTTAGTTTTATATTCCATACCTTTTTTAATAAAATCCCCAATTTTTTTACCTTTATCTATTAAATTATTCCAATTTGTACTTGTTATTACTTTACCTATTTTAGTAAAAGCACTCATTTTTTACGTAAATGTAAAACTAAATTAATTTGTAAAGTTTTATCTGTTTTATCAATTCCTTCAGTCCAAAAATGTAATGTTTGTAAACCTTTATAACTTACGGGGTAATATATTACAGGATATATACTTAATAAACTACCGTTAAAAGGTCCTGTATATAAACAATGATATTTTTTTTCGTTTAAAAGAGAAAGACTATCAATAAAGTCACAGCTTATAATTAAATCAGTAACTCTGGTAGTTTTAGAAATATGTATTGAAAGTAAAGCAACTTCCGTATATCTATTACACCTATTGTTACATTCATATTTTTGTTTATTTCCATTTCTTGATATAAATTTAAAACTCTTTCTATTTCTTTAAAAATATAATCAGAAGAAATTAAATAAAGAGGTTGTGGTACAATAATAATATCATCATTTAAATCAGGATGTCTAATAATAATTTTAATTAAATCATTTTTTACATATTTTTTTTTTATTTTATCTATTATTTTATCAAATACATTTTTTGTTTTTTCATTTGCTTTTAAAATTGTGTTATCATTCCAGGAATCTCCAAATTTTAAATTATAGGTAGTATCAATTATAGTTCCTTTTGCAAATAATCTTTCATCTTTTTTTTCAAATATGTACTGTAAAATAAAAAAATAAAAAAATTAGTAATATATAATACTTACACTTAATTCATCTAAATCATCATCACTATCTTCATCACCTACTACTAAATTTCTATGACTAGTTGAAGGAACAATCTATAAAAAAAATGATTTTTTTAAATTATTAGCGTTTCAAATTATTTCCGTTTTTTATTAATAACGTTATTTTTAAAAAAAAAATTTAAAAAAAATTTTAAAAAAATATTTTTTTACTTACATCATCCTCATCTATCTCTTCCATTTCCTTCTGCTCTTTCCTTTTTCTTTTAAGGGCCTTGCCCTTACCTTTCCCTGCAACTTTTCCTTTACCAATTTCTGGCATTGTCAAATTATCTTGGGTATTATTCTAAAAAAAATATGAATGCATTTAATTTATATTAAAATAAAGAGTTTTTTTATAATCTCTAAAATAAAAATAATAATCTTTAAATAAAAAAAAATTACATTCTTAGGAGTTTCTTTTACTTCATCCTTGTCACTATAATTTGTAAACAAATTATGTAGCATGTCATCATCTTCATTTTCTTCTTTGTCATTCAGGTTTTACTACTTCCTCTGTTACATCATCATTCATGATTATTACTTCTTCAAGTTCATTATCCAAGATATAGGGGATTAAGGCTTGATCAAGTACTGGTACTTCTTCTTCTTTAACAAATCCCCAAGGGTGACTGGGGAATAGAAGTATGGTCACCATTGGTCTTCCTCCGACCGGCGGTAAAACCCTCGCTAAAGTGGGGCGTCCGTTTGGCTGTGCGGGATGTACAAATTTGCAGCCACGTCCGGTCAGAATGGGGACGTTAAATCCGATGTCTCGTGTAAAGAGAATGCCACGCTCTTTGCACGTTAAGAACCCTTGCAACAACTCTTTGAGGGGTCCGTAGGTGACCTGTCGCAAGGCTAAATTTCTGTCCCTATCCAATATACCCTCATTTCCCGTGGCAGTCTAAATTTCTCCGACCTTAATCCCTTAATCTATTACAGAACCTACCTATTGTATTTATTGTGAACTTGTTCTCGTCCTGAATATGCATGAAATATTTGCCACTGGACGTTAAGCAACCAACAATCAATCAATCAATCAATCTTCTTTAACAATCATTTTTTGGCATCAAAGCGGAAGTGACGTCATAGATAAAAGGCGAGGCGCCATTTTTTCTCCAGAATACCTTGTTTTTTTATCTATGACGTCACTTCCGGTTTGATGCCAAAGTCAGGTACTATTACTTCAAAATCGGATGAGGATGTTTCAGTCTCTCCAGTCACATTTTTATATCATATGTGCATAGATTCGACATCAGCATTTTATAAGTGACACCTTATTTCCTTCCGCAATCACATGAGTATCCAGCAATAACAGAAACTGAAAAATTGAGAAAATACAGATGAAACAATATATAAAGCAACACCACTGCCTAATGAAATGAAACTATTTCACCTGTATGTCGACCCTTATTTTATACTTCTGTCTTAACAATGGACTTTTGGAGCCTCATGAAATGTTCAATAGTGACAAAAGCATTTCATTTTATATCATGAGAAAAAATATATTTTTTTTGTCAAATATTTAAATTTAGCTTCCACGAAGAAGTTGCATTCAGATATAGATAATATATACGCGTCGAATTGAATTTTAAAGATTTGAATAATCTTTCCCAGAGTTTTCTCCAAAATAATAACTAAAAAAGCATATCCCTCTGATAGTTTTTTGTTGGTTTACTAGCATTTAATTCTTAATGTCAAGTTCAAGCTTTCGTCTCTACATATTTACAAATAAAATATTTTCGGCACACAGACGTTAATTAACTGCAAATACAAGGCCGCGAAAGTTGCTCCCCCATAGGCTTATAGTAATTTAGACAGTATTATGAAGAAAAATAAAACAGACAAACGAGATATTCATTTTGATAAATAGTATAAAAGACAACTATTAAAGACCGACAATAAAAAAAGAAAAGAATGTATAAATGTTTTCCATAAAACCGTTAATGAAGGGAGATAATTCTACATCTAAAATGATTAATCTGCACCAATTATTAAATACACGTACAAGTAATACGAATTACCGTGCAAGTTTTATTAAATTTCATTCAAATCTGTATTTAACCGTTTACATACTATAAAGATTTGCATCAAGATTTTATTTCTTTTTATATTTACAGAAAAATCCAGCTAGATCGGCATGACAGAAGAGAGCAGATAACTGAATACACTGGAAATGTTCATGCATGCTCAAGACGAGAACAAATCAACACTGAATACAATAGGTACGTCCTGTAATAAGGGCGGTCTGTGATATAGGTCGGGAAATTTGGACTGCCACAGGAAAATGATAGTAATTCGATTAAGACAGCAATTTTGCCATGTAACAGGTCACCTAGAGATCCCCATGGCAATCTGCTTCGAACTTAACGTTCCCATTCTGACCGGATGTGGCTGCGAACATATACGTCCCGCACAGCCTAACGGACGCCCCACTCTTGCAATGGTTTTACTGCGGGTCGGAAGAGCACCAAAGTGACCATATTTCTATTCTCCAGTCACCCTTTGGGAAAGGGACAGTTGTGTACCTTATTAATCATACTTTCATTCAACATTACGGACTCGGACGGGATGTAACAGTTGATGAAAGAATTTATGGTTTCAAAGGAAGAGACAGTCTTGTCCAATATATCCCAGCCAAGAAGAGGCATTACTGGGGTCCAAAAATATTCCTCCTAGCCGAGTCTGATACTTGTAATATTCACCAGATGAGTTTATATACATGAATGTGTAACAGGTAGTGCATCCAATCCAGCGCAAATAAAACAATAACACAATGAAAACGTTATAGTTTTACTGTTTAAAGAAAGTCCTTAAAATCTATCTTTAGTCCGACTTTTCAACTTTAAACGGCACGATATTTCAAGCTTTTATCATTTATCAAACAAGAAAAACATAATAAATAAAAAGAATTTTTTTCTTAACAAAAAAAATGTTAAACACCACCCCCAGCTGGGTCCAAATGATTAGGTTACGAGACTATAGCTGAACTTGTTAGACTCACTTCAACAGAAATTATAACGTTGCCCTGAACAACTTCTTCTGTAGTTCTACATTATGTCACTATTTACTTGAAAATGGAACATATGTGACTGGCACAGCACTATACTACAGATGGATTGAATGTTGGCAAGCATTTCATGCATGTTCAGAACTCAGACACTAAAATGTATGCAAAAGGTGGGTCCAGTGATAAAGGACGACCGATATGAAGTTCGGGAAAATTTGGAATAGCACAGGAAAATGGGAATAAATATGAAGGGACAGAAATTCATATTACCTTGCACAAATCACCCAACACAGAGTTGAGATGAAAGGGTTGAGATATGTCTTACGATCTAACGTCCAAATTCCGACCGGACATGGATGCGTACGCACAGCAAAACGGACGCTAAACTTTGCCAAGGGTTTTATTGCCAGTCGGAAGACAACTTAAGTGACCATATTTCTATTCCCCAGTTAACCTTGCGGTACGATGTTATTAGAAGGAATGCCATCATCGTAAATACTTCGCCCTCCAAAATCATGCAAATTCTACTCGTTTTAGTATAAAATTGAAGGCAAGTGACGACTTTATTTTGTTTTATCATAAATACTGCATGATAAAAGACCGTGATATACATAACACTGTGACATGTGTCGGGAATACATGCATGATGATGTTACAAACTGCGACCTGTTTTCACTAAAAAGTTTGAAAACCAGTGCTGGTCAACAAAAAGTGATCTGCTTAAGGTTCATCATAACCTTTTATCAAATATGGCCTTTTTTCACCACAAATTTCACTCTCGAGTACAGACAAACCTGTGCAACTGCCTAAGTTTTAGAGCATGGCTGGAGCTAGATATATAAAATTTAAGTTTCAGAATAATAAAAAGTTAACTGGGTCTGCTATTAATTTTTTTTTCATTCCCGCAGAAGGTGCCAAAATAAATTGAGTTTGGAAAGAGGTTCGAGAGGCTCCCCTCATATAATAAATGTTGCGAGCAAAAATAGGTAATTTAAACTGTGAAACTGAGTGGATCGTATCAAATGAAACACGTGTATTAGTTTATTTTGCTATCTTCTGCAGACTGGAAAAAAATCCAAATCATAATTCAGGTAAGTTTTTGGGTTTTTTTTTTTTGTTTGTTTATACTCAGTTTTGATTTAGAAGAAAAACCGACATGGTTAAAATTACAAATAACACCATTACAAACACAATATCATTTTAATATTCTTGTCTTGGTTAGAGAATACATAAAATAACACCATTACAAACTCAATCCCGATTGAATATTCTTTTACGTGTCTATAAATAAAACAAATCTATTTCATTTTTATAAACTAAAAATTTACCTGTGATTATATAAACGTCACACAAAAATACGTCACTTTTTGCGACGTTGATCCATTCGTGTGACGCGCAGTTTATATGTCGTAAATTCATGGGAGGTGTCCGTTGTTATTCTGCGGTTTACATGTTGTAATGTGCTATATTATATTATTTATTTATGTATTTCTCTGTGCTGAGTGTTCTTGCGTTTGTTTATACTGTATTCCTGTCACGTAGTGTTGTCATTTCAGCGGTATTTTTAACATTGCCATATAACCAGGTTCAACACAACAAATGTCCTGTACCAAGTCAGGAATATGGCAGCTGTTATCTACAGTCCGTTTCTATGTATGTTGGCGTTTGCTTTTGTTGTAGTACAGTGTTTCTGTTGTTCCGTTGTTTTCCTCTTATAGTTGATGTGTTTCCCTCGGTTATAGTTTGCTACCCGGATTTGTTTTTACAAATCCGGGTGACTATTGAACAGCGGTATACTACTGTTGCCTTTATTTAATTTTCTGAAACATCAACTATATATTACTTTCATTTATCTTGGTCCAACCATGCCTTTAAACTTTCCTAGATGCATCAGTTTGTCTGTACTCATAGTAGATTTTGTGGTGTAAACACGGCCATATTTTTCAATTCCTTTTGATGAACCTTAAACAGGTGAATTTCATAAGCAAAATAATTGTTAAGTTTAATGTCCCAAATATCTTATTTACATGTTGCAAAACAAACCTAAAGGTCATTCAATTTTATAATGATATTTCCGTTTTTATTTGACCTTCATGAAAGGCCCACTATCGATCACCTAACTATTTCTATTCCGTGTTAAACCAAAATGAGCTACATTATAACTTTGTATTTCAGATATTGGCAGTTTTGAAACCGTTTAAACATCACCACCAAATTCAGATAAAAATAACATAGAAGATAGAAAACATTCACAACGATGTTTTGATCAAATAAAGGAGTAGGGCATTAAGGCCCGGTTTTGGCCCAAGAAAATAAAATGTTTGACAACTATTTCAAATTGGCACAAAATGTTTGGAAATGCATAGGGTCATGACATATAAATGAATAACATTAAGATTTTTATCTGATGACGTCACAATTACATCATAATATGTATCGTATTCACAAAAAACAATGAAAAATACAGAATTTATGCAGTTTTCCGTCGTTATTTTCATTGTGAAAACATCGTGCGCAGCCAAGAAACATCAAAATAATTTAAGAGAAGCTTTGTTATAACTATTGACGTAATCTCTCCAAATATAAAGTTGTTTCTTGGGTGTGCACATATTTTCCAATCTAATTAGTTATCAAAGGTACCAGGATTATAATTTAATACGCCAGACGCGCGTTTCATCTACATAAGACTCATCAGTAGCGCTCAGATCAAAATAGTTATTAGGCCAAACAAGTACAAAGCTGAGGAGCATTGAGGACCCAAAATTTCTAAAAGTTGTGCCAAATATGGCTAAGGTAATCTCTGCCTGGGATAAGAAAATCTTTAGTATTTCGAAAATTTCATACTTTTGTAAACAGGAAATTTATAAAATGACCACATAATTGATATTCGTGTCAACACCGAAGTGCTGACTACTGGGCTGGTGATACCCTCGGGGACGAAACGTCCACCAGCAGTGGCATCGACCCAATTTACTTAAAATTTTATGAAAAACAAGGAAAATCAAGAACTTTTATAAAATATGCAAATTTTGTCATGGTTTGTTGCCATGGTAACTCGTTTGTTTTTATTTTCTGAATACCTTGTCCCTTAGTCTAGTTTGGACAACTTTAAGAATATGTATTATAACTTTAAAATTTGCAGTAATATTTGGGCCAAATAAGGGCCCGATTGCCCCTATAGATTATATATTGAGTATAGAAAACCACATGACGTTAAAATCTTATCAATAAAGGTCAATAAATATGTCAAACTCGACTAATGCAACGCATTTTCCAACTTTTTTGAGTCGGGACCTTTTTGATCGTAATAAACGCTGTAACATAGTTTTACTTCAATTAAGCACTAAACCTACTTTGCGATCACTAATTATTCATTTACAACTTCTTTTTACGTCCTGACAGACCTGCAGATTTTCTATCAGACCATACCCGAAAGTCCTATAGATGCCAGACCGCACTGAATAAATCATGAATAAATTTGCATACCATCGACTTCCGGTTCCTTTCCAACATACGTCAATCACGACAAGCACCTGTCAAAATGTGCGATATACGAGAATTTTCGTTCGACAAAGCTATTCAATGGATATAAGAAGATGTGGTAAGAGTGCCAATGAGACAACTCTCCATCCAAGTCAAAATTTATAAAGTAAACCATTATAGGTCAAAGTACGGTCTTCAATATGGAGCCTTGGCTCACACCGAACAGCAAGCTGTAAAGGGCCACAAAAATGACTAGTGTAAAACCATTCAAACGGGAAAACCAACGGTCTTATCTATATAAAAAACGAGAAACACTTATGAACCACACCAACAAACGACAACTAATGAACATCAGATTCCTGACTTAGGACAGGTGCAAACAAATGCAGCGGGTTTTAATGGTACCAAACCTTCACCCTTTTTCTGAAACAATAGTGTAACATCACAACATAGAAAGACACACTATAAAATATAAACTGAAATAGCTTAACTTAATCAAAGGACATATAAACACCAGTGAACATACACTGAACAAATAAATTTGACCTAAGATACAATGTTAATACAAAATAAATAAACAAAGGAAAGAATAATAAAAGTAACATTTTATACCGCTATGAAATATTAAACAATTTACCCAAGGCCATAATTTGCTTTTTACAGGCATGTGTGGAACAGGGCAGACAAGTATTGTGAAGTATGAGTATATTTCATCACACATGATCTTAAATTAGTTAAATATGAGTGATAAAACATGATGCAAAAAATACTGAAAATTGGCGCAAGTTACTTTCTGGTCGTATGCCCGGTTTGCCTCGTGGCCCATGAGGCATAAAGATTGTAATTTGATCTTAACATGAAATAGGCAAAAGTAGAATAGGGAAAATATTATTTTTGAAGTATGATTTTATTTTATTCACGTATGAATTAAAATTCTTGATAAAACTTGATGAAAAGATATTGGAACATGTTTCGTTTTTGTCGTATGCCCGGGACGTATGCCTGGTATAGCCTCTTGGTCCTCTCATTTATAATAAAGATTGTGATTAGAATTCAGGCACTGACCATTCATCTTTTAATCGAAAAGGTGGGGGTGAGTTTTTTGTTTTTTCTGAAAAAAAAAGTTTGATTTTGAATTTCTTCAAAAAAAAAATAATTTGTTTCAGAAAGGAAGTGAAAAAATAGCTTGTTTCCACTGAACATTAGAAGTCAAAAATATTTTACATTACGTTTCAGAAAAAAAAACATTCTTGTTTCTGTATGCTATAAAAAAATTAGTTTGTTTCTTTAAAAAGTTCAAAATCGTTTGTTCTGAGAAAGAAAAAAAAAACATGCCCCTCGAAAGATGAATGGTTGGTGCCTTAATTTGATATAGTAACCACTTGCAATTCTCCAAAAAAATTCTAACACTGTTTTACAAAATAACTGTCGGATAGAAATCTGTCTTTGATATTGTATTGAGCACCCAGCTAGGCCAGCTTTCATTGACTTTATCTTTTATTATCCCTTTGCCTTGTTCAGCAGAGTAGATCATGTGGGTGTCCATTTTAACCTGTAAAGGTCCATTACTTGAACACTGTTAACCATACAGAGCTGATATTTCATTTTTGATACATCCTGAAAAATAATAAAGTTCATTCAAGAATTTGCCACCATGACCCAACATTTCATGCGACTCCAGATCTAGGACCCTCACCAGTTATACACTAATACATTGTAAATTCAAGGCATCACACCACTAAAATCATGTACCAGGCTGCATAGGAAAATACTAAGTACAGAATGAAATATTGATGGGCTTACAGGATCATACAGTCACAGGCATTTGTGGGGTTCCCCCCTTTTTTATTTTTTTTTGAAAATTGAGCAATTAATAATTTCATGACACTAAAAATTTTTAAAGGGAGTCTCATATGTAGTTGAAATCTTATCAATAAATGTCTGTAAATACTTAAACTACTATATCAGTAGAGTTTCTATTCAGACATTTATTGATACGATTTCAACGGCCAGTGCCCTACCCATCATCCGCCTGTGCTTACATGTACAGTCTTATAAACAGAGAAACTTAAACAGGTCTTTCTTTATATATGCAATTAAAATGTGCTTGTAGTTTTGACAGAAAACTGGAAGGGCTTATATTTATGGTATACAGGGTATAAGAAAATTTGAAATAAGCTCAAATTTGCAGAAAATCTCAATAGTGATGATTTAACAGAGAAACAATGGGTAAAGAAATGGCGACAGAACATATTCGGATTGTAAAAATTGAAAAATTCTTCTAATGATGTTAGTATAACCGGGCGTTTTCCGTGTTATAGTAATTCAAAGACGGAATACCAATACTTTAAACTTTATTAGCAAGGTCCGGACAGTACCAGACCTAAGACCTAAACTGACTACAAAATAACATACAAAAGCATATATAAAAAACAGTTACTATAGAAAAGGATTAGTGTCCAACGGATTAACTTGTCATGGTCAGAGTGATTTCCATCACGACAAACATATATTTAACAATAGAATTAATTAAACACAAAGAAACGTAAAAGGTTAGATAAACGGATTAACAAATTGTAACTTTAGCACTTAAAATATATTGTCTGAAATGGATTTATTTATAATTCCCAATTGTCCAAATCTTCCTGGTTATAATCGCCACTACTCCACCTAAACTCGGTCTCCGAGTTTGCCGAATTGAAACTATTTGACTCGGTTATCTTCGTGGGTAACCTCCTCGTTGTGGGTGTTGATGCGAGTTTTTGGGATAGTTTGAACGTAAACTTTTAATTTGATTCTCGGCGACTGAAAGTTCATGAAGTAAATCTTGACATTCACGTATATCGTCGGAATGTTGTGCTTTTAGTCGCTGAATTTCGTCTTTAAGTGTTTTGATTAAATGACAGTCTTGCATCTCAGCATTTTTCAAATCCATTGTTAAGCTGTATCTGGTGTTGGTTAAACTTAGGTTTTCCTCTTTCAACCGCACTATTTCTTTTTCAAAATTTTGAGTTCTACGTGTATACTCAGCTAACTCCTGTTCGATCTTCTGAATTACCCGGCCATGTTGTACACGATCGGAATTTAATTTGTCCAAACTGTTCCTTAACATCACGTTTTCTTTCATAACGGTATCCAATTTAGAATTTTCACACTTCAGCACAGCGATTTCTTTGATGAAGTTTCGGTTAGACACTTTCAACTTGTTAATGTGCTGTTTCGCGAATTCGTCCTGTATGGAGCACGTAAAAACGGATAGTTCCTTGTCCTCAAGTCCTTGAAACGGAAATTGAGACATTTGTTTCTTCTCAATAAACGTTCTCATTCGGTCGCTGTCTCTTTGAATTTTTGACTTTGATTTCTTCTTCGGTTTTGGGTTTTCACACGACTTAACGTGAAAACTACACATACGGGCAAAATGTCCATGATGTCTGCACTTGTAACAATAAGCGTTAGCTGCATAACACCGATGGTAGGTGAAAACGTTCAATGTCTTACCACAATATTTGCACAGAAAGTCCAAATAGGTATCTGCTTTTCTCATCGAAAACGGATGTCCATTTCTGCAAGGCTGGTAATTCCAGGTTCCTTCCATATAGTTGCTTCTAGAGGTATTCATTACTAGTTTGGGGGAACTAGCTCAAGATCGTGCCGCGGGTACCTCAACCAATATATAACCGGGCGTTTTCCGTGTTATAGTAATTCAAAGACGGAATACCAATACTTTAAACTTTATTAGCAAGGTCCGGACAGTACCAGACCTAAGACCTAAACTGACTACAAAATAACATACAAAAGCATATATAAAAAACAGTTACTATAGAAAAGGATTAGTGTCCAACGGATTAACTTGTCATGGTCAGAGTGATTTCCATCACGACAAACATATATTTAACAATAGAATTAATTAAACACAAAGAAACGTAAAAGGTTAGATAAACGGATTAACAAATTGTAACTTTAGCACTTAAAATATATTGTCTGAAATGGATTTATTTATAATTCCCAATTGTCCAAATCTTCCTGGTTATATTAGCAACTAGCAGAACTTGTCACACTTACATACAAAAAAATGCTTATTGAATGAAATAAAATGTGTGGTCCTCTGATTTGAAATATTAAATGCCAAATTTTCACCATACAAATTTTCTAGTTTTTCATCCTTTTCAATTCTATGGCTGTCAGAAAGTTTTTTAAAAAGTATATATATATTAGTTTACATTTTGTACACATTTGAAATTATGAATTCTCTAGATACAATTTATAGGTAATATATAACTAGTTTTGTTGGATTTTAATGAAATGACCAAGGTGATTCATGATTTGTAGCTGCGTTTATTATTGCAATTATCTATAAATACAAAAGTATGTGTGTTTAGGGTTTCCCTACCTTCCCTTTTTTATGAAAGTAATTAAGAACACAAATTTCCTCCCCTTGAAACAAGGTAAAAAGAAATGGAGAATGTGTCCATGCGACACAGATGCCCCACGTGCATATAATGTAAAAAAGTTGCATAACTCATGAACGGTAATAGTTATCAAAGGTACCAGGATTATAATTTAATACGCCAGACGCGCGTTTCGTCTACATAAGACTCATCAGTGACGCTCAGATCAAAATAGTTATAAAGCCAAACGAGTACAAAGTTGAAGAGCATTGAGGACCCAAATTTCCTAAAAGTTGTGCCAAATACGGCTAAGGTAATCTATTCCTGGGATAAAAAAATCCTTGGTTTTTCGAAACATTCAAAGTTTTGTAACAGGAAATAAAAATGACCATATAATTGATAAAAGTGATGCTACCCAAATTCAAACTTCGGTATTTTGTGGTAATAACCTTTGTTTATAAGTTTCAAAACATTTTGTTGAGGCAAAATAAAGTTAGAGAACGGAAACAACAGATTTTGCAATTTTTACACCGGATGACCGTGAGGGCATTCCGATGTATTGCTGTCGCCTTGATTTCCATTACGTAACTTTCGTGTTGGGATTGTAACCGATCTATAAACAAGTTAAATACGCGGACATTGTCGAGTGCAAAATAACATTCCTTATCGCTTGTTATAAATTCATTTTTTCCAAAGGATACTCCTAAAATATTTTTTTAGAACATAAATTAATAATATGAAAATATTTTGTCGTTAGAAATATATACACAAGTAAAAAATCTTTAATATCTATGCACACGTACAGAAAATGTTTGTTAACGCATGCGGAAGAATATCTCAAGAACGTTTGCAATCTCCCATGCAGAGTTATCGGTCCTCGCTCTCTCAAGGACCGATAACTCTGCATGGGAGATAGAAAGTTTGGCGGGAAAATATGAATGCCTACTCAAATCCAATCTATTAGAAAAATCGAATTATTACAGATGAGCGTCCACCATGCACTTGCACTGCACTATTATTAATATAGTAGAATAGAATGATATACAAATGAATGAACATTATATATACATGTAACTGTAATATACAAATATTAATATAATATATAACAACAAACCAGAGTATACTGATTTGTATCACTTCAATATCATATTTATTACGGTGAGGTTGAATTCCCTGTCATTTATTTATCATCCACGCACGAACTTGTCTAAGAAAAAAAATTATATCTGTACATTACCCTCACTTTCAGGTATAGAGATGTGGATTTTTTTTTCTGAGAGAAGTGCTAGTAACCATCCACAAGAACTTGCAGTCATCCGATGTTCAGTACTTCAGTACTTTGATTGCATTAATAAAGGGGCATAACTCAAGATTGGTAAAATGTACACGTCAACGCGAACTTGATCTGTGTTTTGTGACAATAAGCATTGTATTTAAGTTTCATAATATTTTGTTATTGGAAACTAAAGTTAGAGAACGGCAACAACAGATTTGGCAATTTTTGCATTGATAAAGGGTCATAACTAAAGAACAGTAAAAGTGACACCACCGAAATTCCAAATTGATCTCTGTTTTGTGATACTAAGCATTGTGTCAATGTTTCATAATATTTGGTTGAGGCAAACTAAAGTTAGAAAATAGAAACCAATTTCGGAACCTACAGACGGATAAGGGTAAAACCTAATGCCCCTTTCATTTAGTGGTTGGTGCACAACAATAAAATCCTACCTTCAAATGTATCTACCCTAAATTTTTATCACCTAGAAACCTATTATTTGGTCTAATTGATGTTATGATCTTGCATGAAAATTTTATATTTTCTTTGGAATTGCATGTTTACCATAAGTGTTAGTAATAAAACTTCTTAAAACTATAGATAGACTTTTATACAAATGTCACACCACAAAAGTATGCTGTTTATTTTTTTTTCTTTGGATACAAGCTCAAGATGGATTATAAATAAATGTTAGGTTAACATAAGGAACTACATGTATAAGTTGTTTTGAGTGTAAATTACATTTGTATTTTATCCTCAAAAGATGTACAAAGTAATTTGATGGCATTTTGTGATTGTTCGAGCTCCTTGTTCATGGCATGTCATAAACATTGATTAAAGAATTGAAATGGGGAAGTCAGAGACAATAACATACTGTTTCAATACTTTACATTTGGGATTCATTTATCAAAATGTTTTTATAATCATAGGAAGAGACTGAATAAATCTGTTAT